GTTGTGACAAGTTTCCCACCACCACCACAACAAACCAAGAGAGAAATGAGATCTCAAGAGCTGCAGTCAGAGATGTTTAACACTCCCTCCCGCCACAAGTCAAAAGTGACCTGAAGAAGGATGACCAGATGTCATCACTACAACTTTAGTACAAAACACATTACTACAGATTCTGTGTGGCATGGGAGGAGGTCAATGGTGGAGGTGGTGGTGGTGGTGGTTGACACCATGAGTTAGTTACCATACTGGCTGACACCAACCCTTAGGTTAGTGGCATAACCACAAAGGAGGACGAGGCACCATAAAACATAGGACATGCAAGGAACATTGGAGGGCATGACACAACAAAAGCTAGGAACACTCCTAGAAACAGAGCATGCTCAGAAAGAAGGGCATTGGGGATCCCTTCTAGACAGGGGGCTGAAATGTCTTGGAAAGGAGGACCTCTGGTCACCCTGACTTGAAGGCACACAACAACAACAACAACAAGAGCAACAACAATCATCCAAAAGGTGGCTTTGGAAGGCTGGAGGAGGCTCCCACTCTTGCAAGCCCAAAACATCATCCCAACAACCATGATGCATGATGATGAAAATGAAGATGATGAAAATGAAGATGATGATGATGATGATGATGATGACTTGTCCCTTGAAGCATAGCATAAAGGAAAGGACCAAATGCTTACAGCCCCTTACAGGGAAGTAACATCAGCAGGGACGCTGCGCGGGATGAAGCGGGCGTTTTCACAGAGCGCATTATCTTTGGTACAGGTGCACCAGGCTGGGCAGGTGGCTTTCCCTCCTCGGCTCCCTTCACTCAGCCCCAAAAGCCCAGCTCCAAGAAGGCACAGGAGGAGGAGGAGGAGGGCAAGGGGTCTCCCCCAAGCTGGGCTCCTCTGCCCCATCCTTTGGATCCACTCGCCTTGCAACCAGGGGAGAGGAGGAGGAGGAGGAGAAGATCAAGATCCCCAACCATGAACAAGGATGCTGCTGCTGCTGCTGCTGCTGC